GTTTCTTTTGCAGTGCCATACAAATTACATTCCCGTTTGTGGATCAAATGGGGACACTTATCAAAATGAATGCTTCCTCAGAAGGGCTGCTTGTAAGCACCAGAGAGAGATAACAGTGGTAGCAAGAGGACCGTGTTACTCTGGTATGTGTATGTTACTTTTCTGAATAAATGTTAGAAATGGTTTCACCATATTTTCTGAAAAGATGTTCCCAGTGATAGTTCAGTTTCTCCAGTTGGTCCAGTGGACTGATGGACTGTGTGAACTGGAGCCTCCACAAGCCTGGGACCAGAAGAACTAGATGGTGCCTGGCTGCCACTGCCGACCCCTCTGCAAGGGATCACAATCGGAGGTCCTGGACAGCGTAGGAGAAAAATGTGGAACAGAAGTCAAAGCCATAAAAAAGACCAGGCTGACTGGTCTGATGAAGACTGTTGGAACCCTCGAGATGTGGCACATAAGACACCCTGCAAGCTGGGAACTGAACTCAACTTCCAGGGCTCAACCTTCAGTCAAACTGTAGACAGGCCTGCAAGGTGCACAGTAATCACAAGAGGGTGTACACTGCTTAGAACAGTCAGCCATAGACGATCCAAAGGGCAGCATTTGCCCAGAGATAAAGCTCAGAAGGCAGGAAGGAATGGGAGAGATGAAAGAAAAAAGTAAACCCAGGGAGGAAGTGGGCAGAGTGCTCTACGTTGTCGGGATTGCAGTCAGTGAGTGCCCCACTGTGTATGAATGTCGAGTGGAAAACCAATGTGTTCTGTAAACTTTACGAAGCATGATGTCCTTCTCCAGGCAGTGATCCCTCCTGATATCATGTCCAAAGCATGAGACGTGAAGTCTCACCATTCTCACTTTTTTTTTTAAACTGTGATTTGGGTGAAGATTTACAGAGCAAATTCACTTTCTATACAGCAGTTCACTTATACTTTGTCTCATGACATTGACCACAGTTTACCACAATGCAACAGCTCCCTTCCACTTCCTCCCCACAGTTACTTCTTCTTTGTGTCCATCCCTCCATGCCCTCCTCCCCTAAGCTGTCTCCCGGTGCATAAGCAGCCCTTCTTTCTCCCATGATTGTTCTCTCCAAGGAGTGTATCTACCTCGAGTAAATGTTCAGCTCATATGCCTGTCTTTTGCTTGGCTGGAAGCCACAGGTGTGGGTTCTGACCTGACGGGCAGCTAGGGGCCATAGTCTCAGTGGTTCCACCAGGCTCTATTGGACCAGCAAACCTGGTGTCCGTCCCCCTTTTTTTTTTCTCCAAATGATTTTGAGTTTTGTCCACATTGTTCTCCCTCTCCACCCAGGATCTCCTACATAGATCCCCTTCCAAGTGGTTGACATTGGTATCTGGGCACCATCTAGTTCTTCTGGTCTCATACTTGTATAGGCTGCAGATTGGATGGTGTACAAGTCCCTATGACTGATT